GTGTGTGTGTGTGTGTGTGTGTGTGTGTGTGTGTGTGTGTGTTATAGAGCTGTAGTGAATTTAGGATGAAGGAGGGTTGCAGGTCTGGCTGGTCAGATTAGACGATATGTTGGTGTTCACATGCATGAAAATATATTTTTTAGTGAATTGAAAAGTCAAAACTATTGAATATTTGGGGCTTTTAAAAAACTATTCATCATACAGACCCTAAAACTAATGTGTTACATTCAAGGCCTGCAGGCCAAATATAGCCCACCACAGCATTTCATGTACCCCACAAGAAATTTGAAGATTTAATGTCTTAAAATAAGCATACGGCTGCCTTAAGGCCAGCATTGACCATAAACTATATCTCCTATAATGCATGTTGATTATTTTACCCCAAAAAACGACAGCCTTCCACCACTAGGTGAAGGTGTACAGCGTTAGTTCAAAAGTAGTTAGCAGCCGGCAAAATTCACCGTTTAAAATCTCCATTTCACTGCATTTTCGATCCAGTTGTACTATTAAGGGGGAAATTAAACCAAAACGCCCCCCTCAAGTGGTAAGTCCCTGTCGGAAAATGGGAGAGTTCAGAATTCAATATGGCAGCTACTGTATTCACCACAACTCATCAGTGAGTAAATCTCTTTTGCTTTTAATTGTATTTCTGCATTATTTATTTCACATTTAATCAGTCATTCATGCAGTACTTTTCAGTGTTTATAAGAGGATGTGTTAAAATGTTGTTTCTATGAAGGAAATACCAGGTAGAGCTCAGTTATTTTTTGTTAGTGGTGCTCAACCGCAGCAATGAGACGAGGAACGTGATGTTTTGTGTTTAGTTAAAGTTTATAACAACTGGATATTTGAGAGCCAACATAATGTACATGTGGCCCTCAGTGAAAATGAGTTTGACACGCCTGAAATAAATAAACAAACAGTGAACTCAGAGGCCTACATCATCTGTAAACGGACAAAATTTGAAACTAAAAGGACTCTTTCTGGACCTGCCATCCAGCTGAAAGATCCTGGTAACAGGTCCTCAGTCAGGGAGGTGATTAAAAACCTGACGGTGACTCTGACAGAGTTCCAGTGTTGGTCTGGGAGAGAAGAACCTTGTCCGGTGCTTCATGAGATATTTTGCTAACGAACACACGCACAAACATACAAGGCAAAAAACATTATTGCCAGCCTTTTTGCACATGTATCAAATTTAGTCACTTTTTTTGTATAGAAAACAATCACAACAATCAATGTCTATATTTTATTTAGAATTTGAATGCAATAAATCTGATCTATATCCATAAAACTTAATATTAAACTGCCTTTCAAAACTTTATCCAGTTTGAGCCTCTTTGAATACAACACATACAAACCTCTAAAAGGTGAGTTCAGGTTTTAGAAAAGGTACAACATCTGAATTTATTGTCTCACTGACAGACACAGAAGGTCTGAGTAAAGTTTTAATGTCTTTATTATTAGACTGTAATAAATCAGACATGTTAATCCTCAAACTGAGGTTGCAGGATGAAAAGTGGTGTGGCAGTCCGATGTTTATTTGGTGCAGATTGATTTAGTGTCGGAAACAATTCCTGCTGCTCTTCACTGCCTTGTTATTGTCCGTTGGACGAGAACCATGTCCAGGATCTGTGGAGCAGAGAGGGAACAGGAGAACGTGTGTTTGGACTGGAGTCCAGTGATTGATGCTGTGTGAGACTTACACAGCATCTCTAACACAGGTCCACCCCTTTTCTGCAACAACTACAACACACGTTCTGCAGATTTTACACGTCGGACCTGGTAGTTCTCACTTGGAACCTTTCATGCCAGAGTTTTAAACTGACAGCTGCGTTTGCGTGCAGATAGTTGTGATGGCCATCTTGAATCAGCTTCACTCCAAACATTAATTAGTAGTAGCTGTATAACATTTTACAATGGTTTCATTAAAGAGTAACTTACACCAAAATTAACTTTTTTTAGCTGATAAACTGTCTAGAATGTGTCTAAAATGTTATATAGTACTGTTT